GGAATGGGACCATTAAATAAACCTAAACCTATTATCTACCACACGAACCTTATCTTCTTCTTCTTTCGTTCTTCTTCTTCTTCTTCTTCTTCTTCTTCTTCTTCTTCTTCTTCTTCTTCTTCTTCTTCTTCTTCTTCTTCTTCGTCATCATCGCCGCCCAATTGCAGCAGCCAGCCGCCGATCGTCCTCCCTGCCGTTCGACCACGCCGGCGTCGCGCAAGCCAGAGCCTCCTCGCCGCAGCCAATCGCCGCCGCTCCGTCGCTCACCGCCAGGTCCAGCGCCGCTGACCACGAGGGTCTGTGATCTTGGGTTTGAGGCTATCGCCCGAGGGATCCTACCTCCAGCGAATTGAGGCTATCTTTGGTATTACGGATTGAGGCTATCTTCGTCATAGGCGTTAAATGTTACGTGGTTTGACTTTGGTGAAAGTCTAAATTGGTTTGACCGGTGGTCAAAGAGTTCATGAGAAACCCGTAACACCTAAATCGTTTTGAAAAGAAAGAAAATAAGTTGATTGTTGGTCAACCGTCTAAAGAACCGAATTTAAAGTTGAATTGATTTTTATCGAAAGGATAATCATATGCACGATCTAATCATTGAATTATTATGTTTATTCTTGTGCTACAATGGAGAGCCACTCAGCGTCAATGCTGAGCGGATAGCGTTGTTTTCCTTTTGCTGTCCGTAGGTGATCAGACAGATGAACCTAGAGCCGATCCCAGAGGGCATTGAGGAGGAGATATACGATGGCGTGGCTGTCTCTTTAATCTGTTGATTATGCTTTATTTAATCAACTTTAATGCTTATTGCGTTTTCGGGCAAGATCTCAAGTTGTTTGACTTTAAAAAGGCTTCCGCATTATTTTAAATTACTCCGATGGATTTTTATATGTATTGATAGAACGTTTGTTTAAAATTGTTTTGAAAATGTTGTATATTCGGATACCAATCCAGTGGCACACCGGGCCGCTGTCTCACGGGTTTGGGTTATGCGGGTTGGGGTGTTACATTTTGGTATCGAAGCATTTGGTTTTAAAATCAGTCTTTGGACCCTTTCAAAATAAAATACAATGAATAATTCAGCCGCATCTGCATCTTACGTAACTCCTCTGCCCCGGGAAGGTAATAAGTATTTATAGCTTTATCTGTTATATGTTAAGATCTGACTTGGGAATTTCCTTATTATTTTAGAATGAGTCAAGAATCGACCCATGGTCAGTACGTTCCGGAGCCGGAGCACGTGAGCGTGCACACGGTGAACACCGAGGGTTCGAGTTTCACGCCTCCGGGTGACAGAGGGCAACAGCAGAATCAACCTGATCCGGCGGGACAGCCACAAGCTGTACCACCGCCAGTCGTAGCACCTCCAGTGATACCACCGTTGGTGATGCCGCAGGTGGCCTACGAGCAGATGTTCCCGGCCATGATGGCCCATTATATGCAGCACATGGCCCAGCTTATGCCCATGTTCCAGCCACCGCCACCACCACAGCCGCAGCCGCGCATCGTTACCTTCAAGACGTTGAAGGATAATGGAGCGGAAGAGTTCCGAGGAGACAAGATGGGGGAGCCCCAGATTGCATTGGATTGGCTTAAGCAGATGGACCGGGTACTCAAGAATTTGAGAGTCCCAGATGCTGATCGCTCGGAGTTGGCGTCACAGATGTTCCGGAAGGGAGCATATGATTGGTGGAAGCGCATTGACCAGGATCCACACACGCCCAATCCATGGACCTGGGATCGCTTTGATCGAGCTTTCACGAAGGAGTACGTCCCCACCTGGTACCGCGAGGAGAGGCGCGATGAGTTCGTTGCGCTTAAGCAGAAGGGGATGTCACTGCCTGAACTGAGACAGAAGTTCGACTACCTGTCCCAGTATGCGACGAGTCTGGTCTCCACTCCGGAGGATCGTTTGAATGAGTTCGTCAAGAAGCTACGGCCGGACTTGAGGCCGTACGCCGCGCTGATCACGACGACAGAGTTTAATGCGGCGTATGATTTGATTGTGAAGACGGAAAAGAGCTTGGACGATTTGCAAGCAACCAAAAAAGAGGATCGAGCGACGAATGACCCGTGACCCGCGACCCGCGGCCAGCACCGGGCCGAGCGGGAAGAGTTTTGGATTCAGGGGAAAGAGGTACGAGAAGGGTTCTTCGAGTGCGCCGCCGCCTAAGAGGAGTAAGTCGAGGCCGCCTCCGTCGGCCGCCGCTAGCAACTCTATCAGAACGAGGAGCCACCCGCAGTGTGTACAGTGTGGTAGGCATCACCCGGGCGAGTGTTGGCTCGCCCAAGGCTTATGTTTGGGTTGTGGCTAGCCAGGGCATTTCAGGAGGCATTGCCCGACAAACCCTAGCAGCGAGCCTGTTTTTCCTAGAGCTCCGGATCAGCCTGCCACATCACATCCAGCACGGAGACAGCAGTCTACAGCAGCAAATAATCAGCAGAGACCACGTCCGCAGCAGTCAAGCCGGGCACCAGCGCGTACCTACGCCATGCAGGGGCGCACATATCCTAGTCCCGATGTTATCTTGGGTACGTTCATACTATTTGATTCGGTTATGCATGCCTTGATCGATCCGGGTTCTACGCTCTCCTATATCTGTGTTGGCATGCCCGCTAATTCTGCGATTGTGAGGAGTGACCTTGAGATACCTACCGTTGTATCGAATCCGCTAGGACATAGCATGCGTCTTCATCACATTTATCATAGGTGTCCGTTGTCCGTGCAAGGGAAGCAATTCCCTGCAGATTTGATAGAGCTACGACACAAGGAGTTTGACATTATCCTTGGTATGGATTGGCTCACCGAGCATAGAGCAGTGGTCGACTGCAGTTGTCGGACCGTACGGCTGAGAGCCGAGGACGGTAGCGACGTATCACTCTCCAGGGAGGTGTTCGCAAGGCTCCCGAGTTCATATCGTCCTTGAGCGCAAGGCGCTTGATTCGCAAGAAGTGCGAGATGTTCCTGTGTCACGTTCAGGATATGCGAAAAGAATCACCACGTCAGCAGGACATTCGTACGGTTTGCGACTTCACCGATGTCTTTCTCGAAGACCTACCTGGTTTGCCTCCGCCGAGAGAGGTAGAGTTCTCGATCAATCTCATTCCGGGTACGGAACCCATATCTGCTACACCGTATCGTATAGCACCTGCCGAGATGAAGGAGTTGAAGGCTCAGTTGCAAGAGCTACTGGAAAAGGGATTCATCCGACCTAGCGTTTCCCCATGGGGAGCATCGGTGTTATTTGTTCTAAAGAAGGATGGATCCATGAGACTTTGCATCGACTACAGGAAGTTGAACAAAGCCACAGTGAAGAATCGTTATCTGTTGCCTCGCATCGACGACCTGTTCGACCAGCTCAGAGGGGCTACAGTATTCTCGAAGATCGATCTGCGTTCTGGATACCATCAGATTTCCGTGAAGAGAGAAGACATTCCGAAGACTGCTTTTAGAACACGCTATGGGCATTATGAGTTCTCAGTCATGCCTTTCGGATTGACTAATGCCCCGGCAGTGTTCATGGAGCTTATGAACAGTGTGTTCCGACCATACTTGGACCAGTTAATTCGTAGTAGTGTTCATCGATGACATCTTGGTTTATTCACGGACTCAGGAGGAGCATGCTAGACATTTGCAATTGGTTTTGAGTGTGTTGAGAGAGCACAAGCTGTATGCAAAATTGTCCAAGTGTGAATTCTGGTTGAGTGAGGTGACATTCTTAGGACATGTTATCTCTGCCACCGGTATCCAGGTAGACCCCAGCAAGATTTCAGCCATAGTGGACTGGAAGACTCCGCGGAATGTTCGTGAGGTGAGGAGCTTCCTTGGGTTAGCCGGTTACTATCGTCGATTTGTTAAGGGCTTCGCCTCGATCGCTACTCCATTGAACAAGCTACTGCGGAAGGACATCAAATTTGAGTGGTCAGAAGCGTGCCAACGCAGTTTTGATCAACTGAAGGAGTGCCTGACCCAGGCACCAGTCTTGATTCAACCTACTCCTGGCATCGAGTATACCATCTATAGTGACGCATCTCATAGCGGCTTAGGTTGTGTACTGATGCAGTTGAGTAAGGTAGTGGCCTACGCATCGAGACAGTTGAAGACTCACGA